ATTGTTTTTAAAAAAAAATATTCATTCCTTTGAGCTAAGCAGTGCTCTTGCCTCCCATATCAGCATTTAAATGCCACAGGAGCCCTTAGTACCTAGAACCTTCCCTCAGCAGATGCCTGCCTGCAAAGCAGGCGCTTCTGATGACGGGGAAGAAGATGCAGAAGGGAGTCATGCCCTGGGTTCAGCCCGGCATCCCCAACACACAGCCCTGGGGAGCTTAGCCCACGAGCTAAGCCGAGTCCCGCCCCTCTGGCCAGGGAAGACCTGGGTGAGCTGAGAGTACAGGAAGTGTGGCTTTGACCACGGGCAGCTGCCCAGGGACATAGGTGGGTACGTGGGAGCTGGAGGGAGGCCTGGAGCTCCAGAAGGCCCTAAGGAGTCCCCTCTGGCTCCAGGCTGAGGAATTAGAATAATGCTCATACCTCAGATAGGGTGAGGCCCACGAGAGCCCAAGAAAGGCAAGAAGAAATGTGGTGGCCAAGCCCTCCCCCTGCTGGCCACATCTGGAGCGGCAGCGCCAGCCACACAGGGCAGGGCCCCCAGGCAGTTAGTACACACCCACACACCAGGCACCTGGGACCTAGTCAGGCCCCCTGTCCAGAGGCAGGTGGGGGCTAAGGCAGGGCTCTTCCAGGACCGAGAGGCCCAAGGTTCCATCGCCAAGGTCCTCCGTCTTCACTGGGTGGGGCGTTTCCGGGCCCAACCTCGGTGAGCCCCGCCATGAAGAGATGGAAGTCAGGAGTTGGGGGTGGGGAGGCAGCTGGGGGGGTTCTCTACTTTCCTGCCTCGGTCTTACTCCTCCCAGGCCCACCCCTGCCTCCTGGGCAGCCGGGAGAAGCTGGGGCTGCTACCACTGCCCGGTTTCCACTCCCGCCCCCAGGTATTGATTTCCTGCATCATTCATTTGCTGGGCCTTGGCGGCTGTGATTAGCTCCCTCCATTCTCCCTACGGAGCGCCCCCCGCACCCCCCACCCGTCCCTCCATGTTCCAGCAAAGCAGAGCTAATACCAGGCTCTAAATGAGGCTTTGCCACCCGGCCCCAGCAGCTCACAGCCAAGCCTGGCCAATTACACGTGGACTCTTGGCTGTCCCCAGCCTGCTCCATCAACAGTGCTTTCCTGGCTAATAAAATCCCCTCTAAGCAGCCTCCCCCCCTCGCCTGGAGCCCCCACCCATCCGTGAAGCACAGACTCCTAGGCTATAATAGTAGGGAGGGGCATCTCGAGGACCCTGAACCTCAGGGGGCCCTCTAGCCTGACAGCAAGGCCTGGGGAGCCCTCGGGCTGGCTCAAGGGCCAACATCGACGTGGGCAGGGACGACAACGCTGTCAAAGCAAAAACAGCTTGCAATTGCAGACACAAGGCTCTCGCTCTCCCGCGTGCAATCTCCATAACTGGGAAGGAAGAAGGCACAGAGTGCGGACCTTCTTGAGGACATTACGAAAACTCTGAGCCTTCTGTTAGCCTGAGGGAACCGAAGTTTTCAGAGCCAGATGTGGACAACGGCTGCAGGGCAAGGGGCAGGAAGAGTGAAAAACCCCAAGTGCCCACGCCCAGATCAACACCCAGGAGACAGCACCGGGAGACTCACTTCCTGAAATTCCTTCTCCACGTTCCCCAGAGGAGGGGAAGAAAACCTGACTTGGTGATAATTTTGTAAGCTATGTTGCTCTTGTCAAATTATTCAACATCTGTCTTCATGTTCCTACAAAAATTAGCATAGGATAGTAGTTTCTGATGACACCTTTGGTGAAATATTTTGACTTCCACCAGTAAGTTGCAAACAACCTGTCTTAAGGATAATGTCAATTCCCACTTCTGCATATTAAATGATCCAGGGGTTTGTTGTGTTTTCGTAAGGGAGAGGAATCCCACCAACCTGCCGCTGGCTGGAAGTCCGGCTGCTGCGAGAGAGGAAAGGAAGGAGGGACAGAAGGGGGGTGTTCTCTGAGGCCATCCACACGCAGGGTATACTTCCTCCACCGCCTGGCTACCGCCTTTGCCCCAGAACTAGGCCTCTGGGGCCGGCTCAGCCCCCCAGCCTGCCAGAAAGCAGATTACAAGATCCATCCCAGAAGACAACAAACTGGGCCAGGAGATCGGGAGGAGGGAGGGAGACTGGCTCCAAATGGACCATCTGGTCCAGCACTTGGCTGTTGTAGCATCTGTGCCCCAAAGAAGAACAAAGCCACCTGGCCAAAGTAACAGGGCCTCCCCAGCCCTACTGCAGACGTGGATCTCACAGAGGACGGGTGGACCTCAGTGGGAAGCAGGGGGTAGGGCTCCTGGCACCTGCCTCCTACCAGCCTCAGTGTTTGGTCTCAGGCCAAATGCCCGTAGGTTTTCCCTCCACCGCCTGCCCGGCTCCTCAATTCAGCCGCTGCATTAATCGGCCCCTCCCTCAGCCACAGGAGCCTGGAGGTGGAGGGGCAGGGGCTCCCTCCCCAGGCACACATTTTTCTTGGGTGCCTTGAGTGAAACCTACTGTCACCTTTCCAAGGCAACACTGGGCTTCCAGCCTCTTCTCCCTTCTAGGGCTGCAGCCTAGGACTCCATGACTGTCCCTAAGCAGAGACCCACAAAGAGTCCCCACTGCCCCGACAAAGCCCAGTCCGAGAGAGACTCCTTGGGGAGAAGGAATTTCAAAAAGCCTTTCCTCAACCTCCCCCCCCCACCCCGCCACCAAACACAGGTCTTCTTTCATTCAACAAATATCTGCCAAGGTATGTCCAGTCACCGTGACGGGTGCTGGCCCCTGCAGCTGCTCTTACTCTCTCTCAAGCCACCTCATCTGCTTTGGGGGTAGAGAAAAATGGGGGGGGGAGGTAGAAGAACGAATCCCAACTCTTCTTTTAACCCAGTCCCGGTCCTACAAAGATGCTCCTTTCTGCTGTGTCTGGCCAAAGCTCCTAGCATCACAAGAAACTCGGTGACCTCTTGCTGTCTGTCCTCTCCCCCCTCACACTAATCTTCCCGCCTCTCCATCGCCTCCACAAACACTCCCGCCCTGCAACTCCCCTGAAGCCCCAACCTGCCCTGAAGCCAAGCTCTCAAAGGAAAGGTAGAAAGAATGTCACCCAAGGGCCAGAGGTCGGCCCCAGGGTGCCCAGCCCTCGTTGATTTGCTCTGAGTGACAGCAACTGGGACCTGGGCACAGGCAGGAGGGGACAAAATACAGAGAGAAAAGGGTACAGATAAGCCTACGGCCGCATCCTGGCCCCAGAGTGCTCTGAAATGAGGGTCCACAGAGGCTGTCTCCCAACCCCACCCCACGGCTGGGGTTTCTAGGCTAGGTCCAGAGGAGCCTGTCAAGATGGGGCCCCGTGCAGCCTGGAAGGCTGGAGAAGCTAGAGGAGACGGGTTTGCCCAATCTGCCCAAGAGCACATGGCGGGAGTGGAGGCCAGCAGCCACAGCGAGGGTTCTCCGTGCTCCCCAGAGCCCTGGGTGTGGTGAGGACGCAAAGGCCTCGGTTGCACCCCTCTCAGGCCACCTCTAAGGAAGCGGTGGAGCTGTAGAGAAACCCTGGAAAGAAGAGGAACTCCCAGACCACTGCCCTGGGGAGGCCACAGCCTCCAGGACCTGTCCAGTGGCCTCCTCCCCGCAACCCATCCCCTCCCAGTCCCGGCTGCATTCCTCCTCCTTCCTGCCATTTCTGGCCTATGTGAGGGGCCAGGCAGTAAGAGACACACAAACTAATTAAAAGGCAGAGTTTGGCCAGATGCCTGGGCCAGCCTCACCAGGGAATTAAGCCCAAGCCAGCTAGCTATGTAGGGCCAGGAGCCTGTCACCTCCCAGACACCCCTCAGGACACCCCTTCCTCTTGCCAGGCACAGGCAGACAGACCAGATACCTTCCAGGAAGAAGCATTTAGCACCAGCACCTGAGGCTGGCAGCGGGGGACAATGCCTCTGCCACCCCACACAGAACAGGTCAAACTCTCCCCTATATGAAGGGGAATCATTAGGTCCTTCGCCCCAGAGAGAAAGGGGGAGACAATCCTACTCCCTCCAGCTACATGTCACCAAAAAGTGACCTACAAAAACCACCCTGCAGTCAGGAGAAGGCAAAGAGCCACTGGGCCTTGGGAGACCGACTTTCCCCGCTGTGGGGTGAAGGCACTGTGGGAGGGGTGAGCCTGGGTGACCCTGAACGGATGATGCCTGCTTTGAGGGCCCTCCCTGGGAAAACCCACGGGGTGGGAGCGTGAAGGGGTAACCAGAGTCCCCCTTGGCGCCAAGGAGCAAGGCGTGGGGACGCAGGAGCAAAGCTGCGTGGCAGGAGGCAGAGTTTGGACACGTAGCCCGATGGGCGCGTGCCGTGTTCGCGTTTCCTGGGGATGGTGGCTGAACGTGTCTGTGTGTGCGCGCAGGGAGAAGGAAGGTGGGCTGGCATTTTGTAGCGGGGAACCAAGGACGGGAAGAACTGGAAAGGTCCGACAGGGATGCCGTGGTTGCAGGCACCCGAGTCAGCGGCTGCCGGCATCCGCTCGGGCTGTCAGGAAGCGAGCAGAGGAAGCGAAGCCGCAGCGACAGCGAGGACGGCGAGCTCGCCGCCCGCCACGGTGCCGGCAGCCGGCTCGCCAGCAAGCCGCGCGCAACTCCGGATCGCGCATCGTTTGGCTTCCACTCGGAGGCCAAGCCAGGAGAGAACCAGGATTCGGCGCAAGTCTCTGCCCCAGCCCTGGGCGGGGGTCAGTCGGGGTCTCTCGAGCCGACTGGGTGCTCTCAAGGGTTCCTAGTCATTCCCGCCCCTAGCAAGGTTTGGGAAAGTGGGTACCTCCCCCCACATTCCCAGCTTTACGCCAGACCCTACGACAGGTCCCCGTGTTTGGAAGCAGCTAGCTCGGTCTCCTCACGCCCTGGAGAGGGCGGGGACGTGGGCAAACACTCCGGAGTCCGGGCCGAGGGCTCCGCCAAACCCCGGCAGCGCGCACTTTGCGCCTCTTGCAAAGTTTCCGCGCGGGGCTCAGCCAGCGTGGAGCGGGACGCGGGCTCTTACCGTAGACTCCTTGTCCCCGGCAGTGGAAGGGGATCAGCGCCAGAAGTAGAAGGCAGGTCACCTCCATCTTCACGGCCGGTGCTTCATCCCCGCGAGGCGGCGCAGCCCAAGAGGCGGCGGGGGGCGCATCCGCCGGGGGCCCTGCGACGCCCCTGTGTGCCCCCCTTTCCCTGAGAGGCGACAGCGAGAGCAGCGGCGGCGACGGAGACTAGGAGACTGAAGAGGCGGCGGTAGCGACCTGGGTTTCTCCTCCGGCGGGGCCGCTGCCCGCGTGGGGACGCAGGGGGCGCTGGCCCGGCCCCGGGTGCCTCGGCGTGCCCAGCGCAGAGGCCAGCGCCCCGGCCCAAGGAGCCCGGCCGCCAAGCCGCCCCGCGTCCCCAGCGCTGTCCGCGCGGGGTGCTGGGCGCCGGGGACCTCTCTGCGGCGGCGGCGGCGCTTGAATCCAACAGGCCACCGACGACTGACAAACTTGTCGTTTCCCTGCCCTGGGGACGCCCCTCCGCGGAGAGGGGGCGGGGAGGCCGGGGCCCCGCTCCGGTTAATCCGCTGTTTCCAGTTCTGCGGCGGGTGCCGAGGGCTCAGCGGCCCGACCCAGGGGGCCCGGGCTGGGCGCCCTCCCGGCGGCGAAGGAGCCCCGGCCCCGGCCCTCCCGAGCGTTCGGCCGAGGCGCGAGCGCCGCGGGTCCCCGGCTCCGCGAAGTTAGCCGCGCCGCCGACAAACCCGGAGGAGGAATCGCACCCCGGCGCCCCGCGGGAATCTGGAGAGCAATTCCGGGCGAGAGGGGCCCCGGAAGGCGGGGAAAGGAGGAAAGTTTGAGTCGTTTGAAAAATATTCGCGCTCTCGCCCAGGCCGGGGCTGCGGCACGAGCGCCGCCCGCCGCCTCCGCTCGCCGCGCTCGGCTCCCGCCGTCTGGCCGCGGCCGCGGCGCTCCCGGCTCCGAGCTCTCGGGAGAGCGGGGCTGCGCCGCGCCCCAAGTTGGTCGTCCCCGCCCCCGCCCGGCGGCCTCGGGCGGCGGGGGCCCGGAGCGGGCGGGGCCGGCTGCGGGGCGCGGCGGCCGCTGGGCTCTGGGCCGCGGGAGCGCCGCGCTCGCTCGGCAACTTGGGCTTTGCTGTGCTGCCTTCTCGCCCCTCGGAGCTTTTCATTCCGCGCTGCTCCCGCCTCCCTCCCGCCTCCCTCCCTCCTCCTCGCGTCTCCGCGCTCGGTCTCTCGCTCTCCCACCCTTTGTCGCTCGCTCTCCTGTTTGATTCCCCTCCAGTTAAAAAAAGGAGCCAATTAAAGGCAGCCCAGCTCGCCCGGCCCAGCCTCTGTCCAATTTCCTCGCCTCCCCCAGGACCAATTAGAGAAAACAAAACAGGGCTGGGGGAGCAGACTGCCTGCTTTCTTTTCTCTCCCCTCTCTTTCCCTCTCTCTCCCCCCATGCTCCCCCCTCTCCTCCCCCTCCCCCTCCCCCCTCCCGCCCGCAGCCCCCGCCCCCCCGCAGGAAAATGTCAGAAAGCAGAAATGGATCCATCTATCCCGAGGACAGTGGCGAGGGCCGTGGGTTTCGGCGCGGGCTCCGCAGCCGCCGCCCGCACACTCGCTCCCGCCCGCCTTGCACACGCAGACCGGCCGCCGAGCCGGGCGCACCGACCCCGCACGCTCGCGGGCGGGCACGGCCGCTCGCTCCGGGAGCCCGAGCCTGCAGGGCTCCGCACACTTCGTGAATGTTTCGTACTTTGGGGAGGCGGGACTGAGGCGAGATCCAAGGGAAAGGCCGGGGCGCCTGCGGCTCCCGGGGTCCTGCAGGCGCGCGAGCTGGGCCGCCCGCTGTCGGTCTGCCCGCCGTCCGCCGGGCTCGGGAGCCGCCCGCCCCCGGCCGAGCCCCCGCCCCTTCCCGGGCCTTTGGGGCCTCTCCCCGGGTCGGGCGAGGGGCCGCGGCTGGCGCAGCTGGCCGAGCGGCGGGCGGAGAGGTGGCGCTTAGAGCTCCTGCCCTTGCTGCCACCCACAGGTTGCCAACAGGTTTGCCCGCAGAACCCCTCGGCCAGCGCTCCCCCAGGACACCCCACATTCTCCCCAGCACGCCTCCCCTCAGGACCTCAGGCGCCCCCAAGCGCCCAGGGCGCACGTCCTTCCCGCCGCAGCCGCGGGAGTCCCGCACTCGCGGTCTCCGCTACCTCGCCCGGCCCTCGCGGAGCAGGCGAGGGGGGAGCGCTCCTCCCAACCGCCCACGGGAGGGGCGCGGGCTGCGGGGCGAGGCGGGGGGCCTCCCCTGGGCCTCCGCTCGCTCCCCCCACCTGGTCCTGCTCATCTCACCTGCTCCTCTGTCGCCGCTATTTATCTCCGCGTGTGCGCGGGGACTGTACTGGGGCGGCCCGTGGGGGTGCGGACAACCGCAGCAGCTCACAAGCGGGGAACTACAAGCCATCCTCCTCTGGCTCCCCAGGACCGCTCAGCATCCTGACTGCGACGGTGGTTCCACGACATTATGCGTTTGTCAAAACTCGAAGACCTGTACACCAAAAAAGGGTTAATTTTTCTTCATGTAATTTAAAACATAAATCTAACAACAATAATAATAATAAACTATCCCTTCCCCAGGCCCACTTCTGCTGGGTCCCTCCTTCCAGACCATCCAGGGTTTAGTGGCCCAGGAGCACGTGCTCCTGAGTGCCAGGAGGGGAGTAGGGGGTGTCGGGAAATGCCTGGTGGCATGGGGGGGACTCCATCAGCTGACGCCTTCTCAGCTCCCTTTCTGTCCACTTCCGGAAGTCCAGAAGTCGGAGAACATCTGAAGACCTATTCTCCAGCCCATCTCCAAGTGTTTGTGCCTCCTTCATCCCCTCCGTCCTCTTCATCCCCTCCCTCCTCTTCTCTCCTCCCTTCCCCATGGGTTCAAAGCAGCATAAGGGAGTCCCGACCCAACTTAGTGCTGTGCACCCAGTAGACGCCAGCTGAAGATTTGTTAAATGAATTAGTGAATGGTGCCCATCCTAGTCCAGATACCACAGGTCCAGGAGACCCTCAGTGTGGCCATCCTTTCTACTCCCCACCCCCAACCATTACCCTGAAGGAACAAAAATCACATTCTGCCGCACAGAGATAGGGGCTCCCCCCCCCCACTCTGAAAAAGAAGTTACCCAGATTGAGCTTGTGATGATGAGGAGTAACTTCTTTTATTGTCATCTTCCCATTATCGCATGGTTCTTGGAAGTGCCCCCTCCTCCAGGAAGCTCTCAGGGAGGGATCGCAGTGATTCTGGCTCTCCCTGGCTCTGCCCACTCTGAGCTGAAGGAACATTCCTCTGCATCATGGGAAACTGCCCTCGTATTTTCCAATTGGCTGTTCCAACCTCAAACACCAGTCAAGTGCTCCTCTTTGGCTTTGGGGTAAGTTACTGGGGACAGGGAACCCCACTGACTCAGCTGACCTTCTCTCAAGTCCCCCCTCTATGAACACACACTAGCCTGGAGCAGAGAGAAGACCTGTGATGGGAGAGGGGCGGGGCAGAGGGGGAGCAGAGGACCAGAGTGGAGCCAGGCTGGGATCGAACATTTGCTGGAGCTAATCCACTTGTGAATACTCTGCAGCTAATTGTATGCGGTGTAAATACCTCCACAGCCTGTTTGTGTGTGCCTGTGAGTTCAGTCGTCTCCTCCCCAAGTGTGCCCGCCTGCTACCTTGGCAGAGCCCTGTGCTGAGGAGGGGAGGCAACCAGGGAGGAAGGAAAGAGCACTCAATTTGGGAGCCATCAGCCCTGCGTTCCAGTCATAACCTCTCCAGGCCTCAGTTTCCCCAGATGTAAAGTGGGTAGGATCCCTATCTCACAGAGAGGTTGAGAGATGTGAGTAATAATAATGACAGCTGACCCCACATGCCAGGCACTGTCACGTGTATTAACTAACCCTCATAACAACTAAGAGAGACAGGCTGTCACTCTCACAGAACAACACAGAAAGACTGAGTGACTCATACAGCTGCCAAGTGGCCAACAAGAGCTTCGACCAAGTTAGCCTGGCTCAGTGACCTTGCTCTTTCCCACCGTTCTATGTCAAAGAGGTAAGGGCCTGGGTAGCTGGTCATGTTTTCATAAGAAGGGAACCTCATACACAGAGAGCAATTCTCTGGACCCCAAATCGGGCTGTTGAGGGCCGGGAAGGGGGTGCGGGGGGGTAAGAACTAGATGGCTAGACCTGAGGGGTCCCGGCAAACAGGCTCAAACCGAGGCCAGGCTCTCTGCAGGCTCAGTGGTCAGCACCAGGCTGCCAAGTCTTGGGTTCCAACAGAAGATGCTGGAAGGTCACCTCCCTCTGGAGAAAAACCCCATTCTTTTGCTTCAGAGAAATCCTAGCTCTTGGGCTCCAGGAGGTCCCAGGAACTAGCTGCCAACTAAAAGGCTGTGTGACCAGCCAGGGAACTGGAGCGCCAGGCGTTGGCCGAGCAGGCAGCTGCAGGGCTTGTTGTGGGAGCATGTTACTAGAAAGCTCTCCCATCACTTCCTGCCACCAGCTTGCCTCCTGCAATGGGAGAGAGGGCGAGAAAAGAAGAGTCTTTGCCGGGATGCTGTTGTCGCCTTGCGAGGGAAATTGTCTCTGAAAATCATACAGTGGCAGGTATTGATTCAATCTCAGAGCAAGACAATCTCTGGCCAGGTGGGGGAAGGCTGGCTGGGAGGGGATGAGGAACAGGGAGAGTTATGGGCCCGTTGAAAGACCAGTTTATTAATTCAGGCTCTAACAAATAGCCAATTAATGGCTCCAGCTGCTAATTAGTAAGCAGTTAACTCCTGTTATAAATTGTGCAGCTTAAGACTAGTGATAATGCAATCCTGTCATGACACCCACGGAGAGAAGGGGCCCCACAGACTTCTGTCACCCAGGGTCTGTAGCCCCACGCTCCGTCCTCACCCCATACCCCCACAGGCCCTCTGCTGGCAGAATGCAGGCAGCAGGAGAGCAGGGATCTTGTCTGTGTCCTCATTGTTCACTCATTTCACACATATTTAATGAGCACCTACCATGCCCCACAGTGCTGTAGGCACTGCAGACTCAATGCCACCAAAATGGACAAGAATCCCTCCCTTCATGGAGGTTGTAGTCTAGTGAAGAGACAGACAATAGACTACCTAAAAAAGGAAAACAAACAGTATTTAGATAGTTAGGAGTATTCAGGAGCATACTAAAGCTAGAAAGAAGAGTAGGTAATTTGATAGCTGAAATGTCACAGAAGGGTACCCAGAAAGAGCCCACTAATATGGGAGTCATGACCTTAAAGAGGAGGGGGATGGAACCATGCCAATATCTAGGAGGAGAACATTGCAGGGAGAGGAGATGGCAAGTGCAAAGGCCCTGCGGTGATGGGGAGGATATGGCTGAGATCAGAAAAGCTTAGTGGGCAGGTCACTTGGGCCCTGGCGTTGTTGCAGGACACTGAGTGTTACTGTGAGTACTACGGGAGCTATGACAGGGCTTGAGCAGAGCAGGGAAGGGATCTGACTTTAATTTGGTAGGCTCACTCTGTGCCGTGTGAGGAATAGATTAAAGGGGGCAATGCAGTATGCCCAGCGCCTGGCACAGTGCCTGACCCTGAGTAGGTGCCCCATCAATGCTGACCTGTGGGTTGCTGAATGAACATTGACGGGGCTGGACTGTGAGCCTGGGAACCATGCCCACACTGGAAAGGCCGATTTACTCGGATTCTCTTGTGAATTATTTCACAACCATCACCATGGGTGCCCTCACATCAGAACTCTCCAAGAAATTAGACAACTACTATCCTACTTGGTCCTTAAAATGTCCCTGTGCCATTCACTGCCATTTTACAGATGTGAAAACTGAGGCCAAGAGACATTCACTGCCTGGCTTGCTAATACGTGATGGCAGGTATCAGTTCCAGACTGGTCGGGGGTGGGGCGGGCAGACACAAAGGGGACAGGAGTCTGTCTCCCCTTTCTGGCCGCGTGGCGTGACTGCACGCTGCCTCACTGTGTGACCTTCCCCTCTTGGGCTCCACCTGGTCGTTTCCACAGTGAGCAGGTGTGCCTAGACTGCCTCTAAGATTGCCACCCGCACCAGACTCTGAAGTCCTGCGAGCTACGTCTGAGGCCTGATATCTGGACGCCACCACTTCCCAAGTGAGGGTGGCCTGGGCTCCCTTTGTCTCAACTAATGTTGGAAAAGGGGAGGCTTTGCTTAACTTTTGTGAGCTGGCGGTTAAGTAGATCAAAAGCAATTGTGTTTTAGCACTGACCTGAAACACACATGGGCTTCTCGCTCTGAGCGGCTGTGAGGAGCACTGATTTACCTACCAGGCTCTCCTTCCCCACTGGGGGGTCTGGGAAGCGGGCAAGAGGGCAGGGAAAGTCAGGTTCTCTTGACTATTTATTAATGTA